TAAGCCGGGCTTGGTGACTCAGCCTGTAATCCCGCACCTTTGGGAGGCTGAGGTGAGTGGATTGCCTGAGCCTGGGGGTTCGAGACCTGCCTGGGCAACTTGGCGAGACCTCATCTCTACAATAAATCAAAAATTAGCTGGGTGTGGTAGCGCGCGCCTGTAGTTCCAGCTACTTGGAAGGCTGAGGCGGAAGGATCGCCGGAGCCCAGCGGGTCGAGGCTGCGGCGGCCGGGAGCGGCCACTGCACTCCAGTCTGGGCGACAGAGTGAAACTCCAACTCAAAAAAAAAAAAAATTGATTAAGCTAAAGACAGCAGGAAAACAATGATATGACATTATCACCTGAAGGTCATTGTCTTTGTCTACTGTTCACCATCTTATCCGACATCCTTCATGTAGTTTCAGCAGAGTCTAAAAATGCACAGATCAACTTCCAAGGCACGTCAGGGAAAGTACTGATACACTGGACAGCAGAACAACAATGGCGACAGAATATCTTACTTAAACTTTTGAGTCAATAAAACAATACAGAAGTGGGAACCTTTGTGGCTTTTTTTCTTGTTTTGGTAACGATATCATTAATACTTTATAACTGTGGCATACTGTAAGGTTTAAAGAATAAAACAAGCAAAAGAGCTCCATAATACCCTTGAAACAGGAAACACCGCATTTAAGTTCCAAGCAAATTTAGTCAGCCCTCATTATTCAGGAAGACTTCAAGTAGGCCAACTTACAGACAAGCAGCAACCTACAAACGACTCTTACTAACTATATAGTTCTTAGGGTAAACATGTTTATACTTCGACTGAACAGTCACGTGGATATCATAAAGATGGCGGTTGCGTATCACTACTCGATGGAATTTTTTGCCTTCCTTCATTATTTCTTCAATCTTTTTTTCAGTAGACATAAAATTTTCTAAATAGTTTGAATCTTCTAAGTACAGGTCATCACCTGAAAAATGATAAGATTTTAATTCCATAAAGTATTATTTTATAAATCATACCAATATATTACTGACATATAAGTCAGTATTTATTTATACCAATTTCATGTGTTTAGAACTGAGATAATTGTTTAATAACCCTAATTTTATGAGCTTATCTCTTTCTTTGTTGTGTTTTTAATAATCCCTAAACCCTCCAGCCAAGAATTTTCTTTGGGTGCATAAACATTTGTAACTGGTACATCTTCATTGGGAACTGTGATTTTTACACTAGTTCATGACTCTCTTTATTCCATTCAAAACTGATATTAATATTGGTCTCGATATCCATCTACTTTTGGTGTTTCAGTGTGGGCTGTTCTGATAATAACAAGGTTAATTTAGAGAAATCACATTAAAGCTGCTAAATTTTCTCCTTGTAGGTTGAGTAACAAATCTTATCCTATTCTCAGGAACGAAGCAGGCAGCCATGAAGACAGATCACAAAGCCCCACTCTAACCTGCTGCAAAAGCTCCATCCTGCACTTACCCAACAGCAATCAACCATCAACAAGTTCCCTAATTGAAAGAAGTTGACAACTTACAAGTTCTCACAATTCACAGTTGAAATGTAAATAAGCAAGATAATATACAAGAAAGAACTTTGTCTAAGATATACATTTATATAGATGTCTATGTATGCATATGACATGGGTATCTTACAGATTTTGACCTTAACCAATAACCTGTAGACTATAAAACACAGACTGTAATTCACGTCTCTGTGTTAGGCAATACTGCCATACAGCCCAGTGCATTGAATGGGAATACTAACAAAAGCATTGATTCGTCACTGATTTACCTGGTAGAAGCTGGAGCATCCCATCAGCAGTTACTAATGTGATTGGCAGCCATCTTTCCACCCCTTCTAATACACGATCCAAACAAAATTTGTGCAAGTCAGAGAGAGAGGCAAAGTTTTCAAGCCGTCTTATTTCATAGAACTGTGGAGGTGCCAACCAAATATCTTTTGAGAAGAAACTTTCTGTCGCCTCTGATGGAGATAGCCACTGTGAAAGACGAAGGCAGGGATTCCTAAGGTTTATGCCGTAGACAACATGAGATACGAGAGTTAGATCAATACTTAAGAGCTAACTGAAGACATAAAATGAATTCATAAATGTTCCTTGCTAGATCCCTCTATGTCAACATGAAAAGACTCAGTAAAGAAAGCTGGGCTGGAATGATCCTCTTAAGAGGTTGATGATCAGGACACTGATCCTAAGAACTGGTAAATAAGCCAGGAGAGACCTCCAAAGCTTGACCTGAGAGAGCTGTTCAGCATAAAAGGCAAGAAATGCTAGGGGGGCAAGGTGATTCTGGTCACTCCCTAAAGCCCATGAAGGGTCATCTCGTCACAGTAGATCGAGGATTTGCTGTCTGTTTGTTACTCCCATAAGTGGATACCTTGGCTAGGCCCTGAGAAGACGAAGGACACAACAAAGCTCTCTTAGGCCTTATGGGGACTTCAGCAGCCGAAATACAGTGTGATGTGTGCCACATGTTGCAATGAGGGTAAAGAATCTGGAATAGGAGTTTTCAAGAAGGTCAAGAGGCATGACTCAGCCTACAGTTCAAAGAATGTAATAACTCTGTAGGGTCTCAACCAGGCAGTGTTTGCCCATTTCCAGACATTGAAAAAATGCAGAATTTTTGCTGGGCACGGTGGCTCATACTTGTAATCCCAGCACTTCAGGAGGCAGAGATGAGAGGACTGCCTGAGCCCGGGGGTTCCAGACCAGCCTGAATGGCTTGGTGAAACCTCATATATACAATAATTTTTTTTAAAAAAAACTAGCCAGGTATGGTGGTACACACTTGTAGTTCCAGCTTCTTGGAAGGCTGAGGTGGAAGGATCGCCTGAGCCCAGCAGGTCAAGGCTGTGGTAGCCATGATCATGTTTTTACACTCCAGTCTGGGCAACAGAGTGAGACTTGAACTCAAAAAAAAAGAGAGAAAATTGCAGAAGTTTAATCTCTGAGAAAAGAAAAATAAATAAGGTGAGTTATACTACTCCCCAGGGTTTCTTCTTAAAGGTAATTCTCAGATTGCAGCACAAGGAGGGAAAACCTAGGAAATTCAGAGCCTAGAATTCTCACTGACTTGAGGAGATAGAGATTGGAGTTTAGGAAGCTCACAAAGGATAGAACTTGGCAATAGTCCCCACTTACCTCTGAGTGATACATTTCAAGACCTCCACTGGATGCCTGAAACCAAGGATAGTACCAAACCCTATATATATTATGTTTTTTCCTATGCATACATACCTATGATAAAGTTTAATTTACAAATTAGGCACAGTAAGAGATTAATAGCAATAACTTATAATCAATTCGAATAACTATAATAATATATTGTAATAAAAGTTATGTGAAGGTGATCTGTCTCTCAAAATATCTTAATATTTTGAACCTTGGTTGACTGAGGGTAACTGAAATTGTGCAAAGCAGAACCAAGGATAAGGCTGTCCTGAGAAGATCTATACAGAGAACTCCAGAAATCTGTATACGGCAAACTTGAATCTTTGCTAAATATTTATCTATGCATGCAAAAGGCGAAACCATAAAAGACTAGAAAATAAAGACTCCTTTTTTTTAAAACTTCATTCACCACCATTTTTGTAACTTTATTCACTATTTTTGTAACTTTATTTATACAAACAAGGAAAATGATTCCTGAGGTAGGGACAATTACTTGAGAGCTTTAAGACTAAATTACCAGAGCTCACCTGGGGCCAAGAATTATTCGAATTCCCTCTGATCACAGCAGAGAGACCTTGTTGAATATGAGGAGCAGTCCACTAGACTTTGAAAAGGCCTCACATTAGAAGTGCAGCTCAATTAGCTCTAGAATAAAGGCTACTGTAGACCTACCCTAAAGCCACTTAAAACCAAACCTCAAGAGGACCAAGTTAATTTGCAATAACTTAACTGTTGTGTGTTATGGAGTTCATAACAGAAAATAAAAGTCAATGCATGACAACAATAGTATGAAGGACAGGAGGGAAAAAGAGAAGTATATTGTTGCAAGGTTGTTACTCTATAAATAAAGTGAAAGATGTAAATTGCAAATCCTAGAACAACCGCAAAGAGGTATAGTTAATAAGTCAATAGTGGAGATAAAAGTCATTAAAATATTCAAATATGGGCAACCCCTTTGGGTCCACTCACACTGTGGGAGCTTTTCTGTCCTCTCAAAAAAATCTTGCCTTCAAAAAAAAATTCAAATATTCCAAAAGAAGTCAGGAAAAGGAGAAAACAGTGCAAAAAAAAAAAATAGACAGGACAAATAAAAAACAAATGGCAACATAGTAGATTTAGATCTAACATGGATATAACATTAAATATAAGTAATCTAAACACTCTGATTAGAAGGAAAAAGTTTTTGGATAAAAAGCAAAGACTATATGCTTCCTACAAGAAATAAACTCTAAACATAAAGACACAAGTTAAAAGTAATGGATAGAAAAAATATATTTATCCTAACAAATCAAAAGAAAGCTAGGTGGCTAGATTATAGCCAATATCAAACATTATAAACTTCAGATTTCAGAATAATAAATATTACCAGAAATAAAGAACATTTCATTATAATCGAAGGATCAATCCATCAAATCTTAATAGTCCTAAATGTGGATGCAGTATTTATGTGGGAACTTTAAAATCCATAAAGCAAACTGATAGAACTGAAAGGAGAAAATGATAAATCCACAATTGTTACTTGAGGATTTCAGTATTCCTTTCTCAGTATTTGATGCAATGAGTGTACTATGGAAGACCTGAAATATGCTACCAACCAATTCAACCTAATTTGACATTTTTACAAAAACACCACTAAACAGCAGAATAACACATTCTTTTTAGGTGCAAAGGGAACATTCACCAATTTAGGCCATATTCATGGCCATAAAATAAGTCTCAATAAATTGTAAAAGACTGAAATCATATTATTATTTATGAAAGATGCCAAACTCTGTAAAATATTTTAAAAGGTTTATTCCAAGCCAAATGTGGGTGACCTCAGGCTAGAGGCAGTTCCAAAAGGTCCTGAGAACATGTGCCTAAAATGGTTGAATTACAGCTTGGCTTTATACATTTTTAGAGAAACAGAATTCACATTGGGTACGCCTGGACGGACAAGGTTCTCCGAGCAGGGGCTTGTAGGTCACAGGTGGATTCAAAGTTTTTCTGATTGGCCACTGGTAGAAAGAGCTAAGCTCTATCTAAAGAATCCTGAAATTAGTAAAAGAAATACTGATTTAAGATAAGGGGAGGCCAGGCGCGGGGGCTCACGCCTATAATCCGAGCACTTTGGGAGGCGGAGGTGAGAGGACTGCCTGGGCCCGTGGGTTCCAGACCAACCCGGGCAACTTGGAGACCTCATCTCTACAATAAATCAAAAATTAGCCGGGCGGTAGCGCGCCCTTGTAGGTCCGGCTACTTGGAAGATTGAGGTGGAAGGATCGCCTGAGCCCAGCAGGTCGAGGCGGCGATGGCCGTGAGCGTGCCACTGCCCTCCAGCCTGGGCGAGAGGGAAACTCAGACTCAAAAAAAAAGATAAGGGGAGTTGGGGAAGCCAATGTTCTTGATTCACAGAGGAAGGCTCCAAGTAGCAGACTTCAGAGAGAAGAGGCGGCAAGTGTCTTCATGAAAAAGTGCCCCGAGTCCAGGAATCTACAGATGCAAATTTCCCCAAGATATGCCTTTGCAGAGTCCTATTTATCTCCTGCTTTATCTGTCATGAGATGTTATGCCAGAGTCAGGTTGGAAAGTAAGCCACATTATCTAGGGTTAATAAAAACCAATCTGAGCCGGGCTCGGCGGCTCAGCCCGTAATCCCGCGCTCTGGGAGGCTGAGGTGAGTGGATGGCCTGAGCCCAGGGTTCGAGACCCGCCTGGGCCACTTGGCGAGACCTCATCTCCACAATAAGTCAAAAAGTCAGCCGGGCG